AAACGTGGATTGTTACGGTCTATTGGGGATGGTTCAGAGACAAAGGTGTGGATGGATAAATGGATCATGGAGAATTAGCCTCGAAGACCGGTCAACAAATAAAGCTTAATTGATCTAGAATTGAAGGTCTCGGCTCTACTTACCTCTGAAGGAGAATGGCGGCTTGATTTATTGAATGAGTTGTTCCCATTGAATGATGTCTCAAGAATCACAGCACTACAAACTGGAAGGGTATCAGATAGTTATATTTGGGCCTTTAACAACACTGGAGCATATTCGGTAAAGAGTGGGTATTGGTTTGTCTCTAATTATCCTCTTTTACCTTCTCTACCAAAGGGTCCCTTGGAACTTAAACAAGTGGAGCTTAAGCAGCAAGCATGGAAGATTCATATTGAACCAAAGATACGCGTCTTTGTATGGCGTGCGATTGCAGGAGCTTTAGCGGTTACTGATCGCCTCCGATCCAGAGGGTTTGATCATGGCGTTGTTTGTAAGCTGTGCTCGATGGCTAACAAAACCATTAATCATGTTCTCTTCGGTTGTAATGTGGCTCAGCAGATATGGGATATTGCGAGAGTCCCGAGTCCGAGTTTTGGATTTTCGATGAGTTTTGAAGATAACTTATCACATCTCTTCATTTTAATGGAGGATTCAGGAATCAATGAGTAGATTTGAACAGCTATTCCTTGGTTATTGTGGAATATTTGGAAGAACCGGAATGCGGTCTTATATGCTCAAAAGCAAGTGGTCTTGGATACCGTGGTTAGCCAAGCTTTTGAGGAGGCTACACTATGGCTAGAGAAGAATCACAGCATCGAAACAAGGAACAACAATGTGTCCAGGAATCAGAGTAGGAGTTTTCGATGGTCTCCACCAATGCAGGGTCTTCTCAAGTGCAATATCAACTCAAACTGGTGGAATGAATCACTCCATAGCGGTGGAGCTTGGATTGTCCGAGATCACACTGGAAATGTGCGCCTTCATGCTCGAGAGGTCTTTACTCCGTCTCCCAATCGTATTATATCAGAGTTACGATGCCTTATATGGACGGTGAATAGCTTGAAAGATCTTCGGATATGGGAGGCTGTGATTGGTTTTGACTATCACCCAGTCTACGACGCTATGCATAAACCAGTTAATTAGCCTCGGTATAGAGCTCTACTAGCTCAAATCTCGGCGATTCGGATGGATTTTGCTTCGGTTTCTTTTGAGTTGGAGTCAATGGGAGCTAACTCCATAGCTCGGGCCATATCTCAAAGTGTTCTCTGGGATGGAAGATTCAATGCATACTTAGCCATTAGAGGACCTTCATGGTTGCAAGATCAGATTGCCTTGAAAGCAAGATTCTAACATCATTGGTCTTTGTCATTGAACATCGATGTTTTAATTTCTTTTTGGAGAACTGTGTTCTCTCTGCTTTTGTTTTTTGATGTTGAACTTCCGTCTGTTTTTTATCAATATATCTCACAGACGATTAAAAAAAAAGATATATTTTGGTTTTTTGTTAAAATTTATGGTAAAATATATGAATGATCATGATAAGATTAAATATGTAAAAATATATTGGAAATGTATCTCCTATATTATTTTCTTAAATAGAATACATATATCTTCTCTATATATTAATTAAGGAGACAGTATAGAGAAAATCTTATGTGTCACTCAATGAGCAATTCAAGGAACACCTCATTTAAATTAATCAATTAAAATATTTTATTTAAAAACTATATGTCTTAGTGGAAGTCTCTACATATTCTCATTAATTTTTTAGCATAAG